GGCTGATCACATACAGAGAGAATAATAATATAATGCTCGATGTAGAATAACAGAGATATGAATTATATATTAATAATAAATAAACATTTTTCCTCATCGGTAGCACAAAACTACACAACGTAATTTTCAGGTGATGTTTGAATGATTGGATTTTAAATCAGCATCTGAAGGGCTGTGCTACTGGTGAGGAAATAGTGTATATTTACTCATACAGCAATCGCTATCACTTGACTTAAATATTTTTGCCCTTCCTTGCCTTTAAAGGAGTGCCCTTTGCCGTGCTGATGTTGCTACATACCTTACTTCTTGCCTATCTCACACTGCGAATTTTTTCTAAGCTCTATACTAAACATTAAATCTGTTACGAAAAAAGAACTAAACAAAATGAACACAAAATGATCAGCTTTAAAAAAAGGACTAATAACTGGAAAAACCGAATGAAAAAAGAATGTTAACAACAAATACTTTTTCACACCCAACCCAGTTCTGCGGAATCAGAATCAACGTTGAGTTTAAGCAAGCGAATGAGCCAATTGGAGTAAAGTGCCATGCAGATTTAAATTTTTCCCACTTTTGACGAATGCAGCTATCAATTTTTTTGCATGCTAGCATGCTAGTTAACATTCGTGTCAGTCAGCTGTTGGCTCCCATGCTGGCCAATAGAATCTTCTTGCCTATTTGTGGCAGCCAGCTATTGCCTCTTACTCTGGCCAGTAGAAAATGGCCGCAAACTACATGAAAACTGCCGTAGAAGCATGAAAATATCGATTATTTCCACTATCGATGGGTGTTGGGAAATGCAAAGTTGGTCTTGGCCTTTCCGCTAACTTGGAGCATGTGCATGTAAATTTTGGTGCAAATCCGTCGAAAATTGCGACCGTACATTCGTTACACACACACACACACATACATACATATCCTGCCTTTTATAGATAGAGATTACCGTAAAAAAACAAAAAATACATCAACATCGGAATAAAACGTCCTTTAACGGCTTTCGTCAGCCACTAAGTACTTGTCTTCGGAGCGCTTATTTATGCATTTTTCAAAGCCAGTCTCAGGTAGGTGGTTTGTTAATGGGAATGGGTTTGTGTTAGCGATTGGTGGGAACGTCAGGTACATTATCTCGGGGGAAGCGCTCAGGGTTCGGAGTTTATTTATGGCTAGGATTTTTGTCAGTGTAATACCAGTTCCTACTATATGGTGTTTCATATAAAGATCCCAGCGTGTGTGTTTTCGCTGGGATTCACAGTAAATAGTTTGTATTTTTTTTTACTGTAAAACGATGCGGGACTTGAACTTAAGACCGTTAGGGCTAATGTAAATTCGTTTGAAGATGTTATGGCACGTAGTGCACCAGGTCTCTGTATTCGGCCCTTCAAAAAGTGTGGTTGGCTCTGCACAAAGCCTTCACCACTAATAATCAAATCATATATGCTGGTGTCTGTCAGTTCCTAGGAAGTGAACTGCTTGACCCTCATACGTGGAATATAACGGGAAATTCCACCATATATATATATATATATAAAGACATTTTTATGTTTAACATTCTTTTTATAGATACAGAGGATCGATCGGTTAGCATGGTTGAATTTACTGTTTTTAAACTTCATCATCCGTATCAAATGTAAATGACGTCACACATTATGAAATACTGTTTATTATAAACAGAGCATTTACTTAAATATTTGTATCTATAAAAAGAATGTTAAACATAAAAATGTCTTAAAATAATTGTCGGACTTTGTCCATTTCATAATATATATATATATATATATATATATATATATATATATATATATATATATATATATATATATATATATACAACAGGCCTAACAAGAAGACTCACGTTACATCTCTCCGACCATTAAACCTCAATTAAATACACATGGAGACCTACCAAACTCCTCCCGCAACATACTCATTGATAATTGCCTCATTCACATGTAGAAAAAGGCTAAAAATAATGGAAGAAGTATTAATAAACACTAACACTCAATAATATGAACACAGCCACAATGCGCTGAGCGTGTTCGGAAAATAAAACATTCCTTTAACTCTAGCTACACACATAAATCAATCCATATATTCAGTTGAAAGTAAAGATAAAGTCATCCATGATAATGCCTAAAAGTACAGCCGAAACGTACTGTAAAAAGGGAATACACAATTATATATATATATATATATATATATATATATATATATATATATATATATATATATGTGTGTGTGTGTGTGTGTGTGTGTGTGTGTGTGTGTGTGTGAGCAAATATATGGATATAGATCCGACAGTATGAAGAAAAATATACGGAAAAAACAAACAAAAATCCTAATATACAATTATGCTGTTTTAATGTTAATATGTCAACGTCGGACATTTCGGTCTAGTAGACAATCTTCTAGTATTCACCGTGCGTGAGATAGATATTATGGCTGCCTCATGAATACTAGACCCGGGTTCTTTAATATTTACCCTTTTCTAGCAAGATTAATGCTCGACAAATGTACAGTTTTAGATTAAAATAAAATTCTTTTCATTCTTCATTCAAAATACTCAAATTTTAGGAATACGTTTTCACAACATCGCCCACGTGACGCCGACGTGATCATATTGAAACGGAAAGCTGATTTTGAAAAATTTCAGTTGTCTGTTTTGATCAGTCTTACTCTTATGTCCATTGTCTTTTTATGTTGAATTAAATATAGTCTAATGTTAATTATGTTTTATGAATATGTCCTGAAGATGGTCGACTAGACCGAAACGTCCGACATTGACATTATATTAACATTAAAACAGCATAATTGCATATTAGGATTTTTGTTTGTTTTTTTCCGTATATTTTTCTTCATATATATATATATATATATATATATATATATATATATATATATTTATTCGAAAATTATAACATAAACATGTTATAAAATCACTACAAAACATTTCAACACCATCACTTGATAAGACGCCAGAAGTATTGAAACAAAATGGCTATTTTTGTAGTGATTTTATAACATATTTATGTCATAATTCTCGAATAAATAATTATATTTGCTCTCCTCTGTATTGAGCACTCTTTTTAAGAATAGTATTTTTGATTATTGAAATTTTTTCTTTATACACCAATCCTATACTTGGATATATATATATATATATATATATATATATATATATATATATATATATATATATATATATATATAAAAAAATAATAAAATTTTAAATATATATATTATCCATCATCCCGGAATTTCATGCACAACGCAATTGTCAGGTGCTGGTTACCGACCATCAGGACTCTATGTGCGATATCTATCTATCGATCAAGGCATGTTTTATGTTTATACGTTCTTTTTTTATAGATACAAATATTTAAGTAAATACCCTGTTTGTAATAAACAGTATTAACAACATTTACCGGCCTGAATATCCGAGAAATTTTCATAGAAAATATTCGTCCTCCGACAGGAATCGAACTTGTATCCTTATACGGAACCGTCATTTAGCTTGACGTACCTTATCAGATTGGCCCACAAAGGAGTGTAGCAACGTCGATTTTACTGTTTTTAAACTCAATTCTCCATGATTTTCTCCGACAATTATTTTTAAGACAATTTTTATGTTTATACGTTCTTTCTTATAGATACAAATGTCTTAAAAATAATTGTTGTCATAATATATATATATATATATATATATATATATATATATATATATATATATATATATATATATATATATATTCTCTGTATTTTGATTTTCCTAGGAAATCTTACTATTTTCCATGTCCTTTCATACAGTCCTGTTACGGTCGATACAAAACTTCTTAAATATTGATTTATTTTTAATCCTCATCCTGTTTTCTGTTTCATTAGCATTCTCTTATTCTAATATCTAAATATATTTTTGCATGTCCCTTAATTTTCGTTTCTCTTGTGTTTTTTTTTCTCCCCAAAATGCAATCATTCCACTACCGCCCCGCCTTCGTCGGGGATATTTTTCGTCTCCTGTCAAAACAGGCAGTTAGACCTTCTTCACACATTTCTTTAACCTCTAAACCCCGCCGTTACCACACATTCTTCCCGCCATCTGTCGTCGTTGACTTACCGGAAGAGGATTAATGCGCGTGCGTCCACCCGAATCTCCTAAGCTGGGTTTGTAATTTTTTCGGATCTTTGCCACAATAGAATGAAGAGATTGACAAGAGAGAATATTAAATGGGGAGAGATACAAAAAATTGAGAAAACAGTGTAGAAAATCAAATATTAACCATTTTTTCTTTTTACTCAATTCGGGTTTATTCTTTCAAAATAAAATATTCTTATATCATTTTTAATTAATTCTGGAATTCGGGGGTCCCAGTAACTGATTGACTGTTTGCTTATTCGGAGATGTCAAAGGTCACATAAGGTCGTGCATTTACCGGAAGTAAATAATAACTTTGGTATTTATGACTCAAATAAGAACAAAATGGAAGAAATAAAAAGAGAGGGACAACAAAGTTGGAAAATAATAAAGATGCAGAAGGCGAAGAGCAAAAATGAGAAAATGGGGTAAAGAGAGATAGAAGGGAAGCAAGGTAGAAAGTGAAGGATGAAAATGCGATAAAAGAAAGATGAGGAAAATGAGAACGAAATAAAAGTAGTAGGGAAGAAGAAAAGGAAAGAGAGCAGGGTAAAATAAAGAGCCGCGAAGAACAAAGATAAGGAAAGAAATAATTAAAAGAGGGAAATGATTGTGGGAGAAAGAAGGAGCATAAAATGAATAGAAGAAGAAGGAGGAGAAGTAACTGGGAGGGTAACAAGAACGAGAAAAGGTGTGAAGAAGAAGAAGAAAAAGAAGAAGAAGAAGAAGAAGGGGGAAGAGGAAGATGATACGAGGGTAACAAGAATGAGAAAAATGGGTAGGGAAGGAAGAAGAAGAGGAATAAGAAGACGACGACAACGAAGAAGGAGGAGGAGGGGGAAGATGATGCGAGGATAACAAGAACGCGAAAATGGATGAAGAAGAAGAAGAAGAAGAAGAAGAAGAAGAAGAAGAAGAAGAAGAAGAAGAAGAAGAAGGTGGGGAGGAGGAGGAGGAGGAAGAAGATTTAGGGTAACAAGAATGAGAACATGGGTGGAGATGAAAGAAGAACCATAAAATGGGTGGAAGAAGAGGAAGTCATGGAAGAAACATGAGATGGTGAAAGAAAAATGACAAAGAAGAACAAGTTAGAGAAAAAAAATGAAGAATAAAAATGAGGAATGAGAGGAAAGGATGATGAGAAACAGGAGACATTAAAAGTAAGGTGAAGAACAAAAATGAAATTTAAAAAAAACGGATGAAAGAAAAAAACAAGAACGAAACGATTGATAGCGAAGAAGAAGAAGGAGAAGAAGAAGATGGAAAAAAACAAGAAGAATATAAGTTCTAACAGATTCTTTTCGCGCACTTTTTGCGAAATTGGAAACCTCTTCCGGCTCCATGCTTCCCAGTCAACCTTGATTTTCAAAAATTTTAATCCAATGTCAATCGTTATATACTGTATTCCTGATTATTCTACTTTTGTACTTGACCCTTAGTAATATTTCTAACTCTTCCTTAGTCAATAACCCCTTGTGTCTTAGTGTCTTTGTTGCTTGGCTTGGGACGAACTTGAATATATATATATATATATATATATATTACAATGAATCATTCATATAAAAAGTAGATTAGTAAAGTTAATGATATAAAATGGCGAAATCCCTTCACAAACAAAATTTTAAAGGTGCATTAACCTACAAATCACTCGATGAATGTTATGATCCTTGTTTTTAACAAATCACTCATTTAAATCAATCATTAAAAATTTTGTTAGGGAAGGGATTTCGCTATTTTATATCATTAACTATACTAATGTACTTTTTGTATGAATGATTCATTGTAATATAAATTGAACTGCACCACATGTTTGATATATATATATTATAAATTTACTAATTTAAAAATATAGCTCCATCGCTTTACAGGAATTACCATGTTTCAAAAGCAGAAACTAAAAACTTCAAATTTAATTAGAAAAGTAAATTAAATCCCTAGTATTGTTTCATTTTCAAGCGAATTTTCGCTTGAAAATGAAACAGTACTAGGGATTTTAACAGTACTAGGGATTTTAATTAATTCTATAATTAAATTTGAAGTTTTTAGTTTCTGATTTTGAAATAGGGTGAGTCTTGTGTAGCTATGCAACCATATTTTTAAATTAGTAAATTTATAGTATTTATGCTCTGCAGAATTGTATTGAGCACTCTTCTTTTAAAAAATAAAAATAATTAATAAAAACACGGGTTTATAAATCTTACTATTCTCTCTCTATATATGCTTTTGAGCGGGACCTTTTTCGGCAAAGTTTTGGCTAATAATTTTTTCGGATGAGTTATGGTACCTAGATATTATGAATTTAAACGCAATACTAGATTAGTAACACGGTCTCATCAATTACAGTTGAAATGGCTAGATGTAATATGTTCTATCCTAACAGATTATTTTCTCGCATTTCTTGCTTGTTGAACTCTCTTTCCGGTTCCATGCTTTCGAGCCAACTTTGGTCTTCAAAAGTTTCAATACAGTATCAATTGTTATCTACTGTCTTCCTGATTATTCTTCTATTGTTCTCTCTCCTTAGAATAATAAAAAAAACAAACAAACTAAAAACTAGAGCGTAGAAAAAGAAAAAAGCAGGCAGCATAGGGTACCCGGACGCGACAGATAAGCGACGATATATATATATATATATATATATATATATATATATATATATATATATATATATATATAATATAAAAGTGTACATCGAAGTCAACGCTCTGAGTGTTGACTTCGATGTTCACTTTTATATTTATATTTACATATGCTCTATCGCTGATATTGAACACTTTATCCCATTAATATAGCACATCTTAAAACTATATTTCTTCATATATATATATATATATATATATAATTGTTATGGTCCGGTTCCTTGTACTACGGTGATAGTCCAAGATAGAACCAATAAAGAAGAACTGTAGCACAGGTATGGAATAACACAGATATATTACAAATAGGAATATATATAGAGAAGTAGAAGTGTGATTATGAACAATCAGGTTTAGTAGAGAGAACAATGTAGTCTCGACCAGTATCACTATTCCAATGTCTTGCAGTAATTGTCTGAACGCGACTCTGTTTCGGACTGCCTCTGACTCGACTCATGACTCGACTTGAACTACAGACTCGACTTGAACTACTCCTGAGGCGCAGTATTTATTAAGTATGGAATAGTCCATTATTATTATTATTATGGGTAAGATCCCATAACAATAATTCACATTGATTTGCTCCTCTTCGACGTGAACTGGAAACCTATTTGCCATTCATTTCATTTATTATAAGTATTTTGGTGTCTAGTCCTCAGATCAGGTAATTTGATTTATTGCCCCCTCTTGTCCTTAGAGATTCTTACGTATTTTCCTTACATACAGTTTTGTCTTCCATTCTAACCTGAAGAAGCCGAAGGAAACAGACGCCCTCTTCGTGAAACGCATTGCTTATAGTTTTTCCATTTTGTCTCATCATCTTTGTTAAATAATAGTTTAGCAGACGATTATCTTTTAGAGGAAGTGTATCTCTGCTCCAGTTTCTTGAGGTTGATCTTAGAAGTCAGATGGAAGACATAATAAGGAAGTCGATTTTGATTGGCTGAGCTAGCGTGAGAATGATAGATAAAGATTTTTCAGCGAGTTGGTTCTCACACGTCAAGCAATGTAGACGTGTTCGCTTTCGTGTCTGAAACGGCTTCCCAGTGAAGGGAACGACTTCCACTTGGATAGTTAGTATATGTCGTCATTAATAATTAATAATAGTTAAGATTCTCCGTGTTAGTCTTTCATCTCTGAAACAAAAATATCTAGCTAACATCGACTGAGAGAAGATATGCAGCAACTTAATATTATCCATATTGGTTTGGTATTTCCTTCCTTTTATTGGGATCTTTTTTGGCTGATATAATTTACCCTACGAGGGCGGCATTGTGCTGATGAGTGATTCAGAAGAAAAAGAAATATTTGAAAAAATAGTCGATGAAACAAGAAGAAGCGACTCACCATCCATTGTAAAATGATTGGTTGTCAGCAAAAGGGAGAGCTATAGATGTGAATTACGTATTAGGGACGTCAAAATCCAGAAGGTGTGGGAATAAACCATTTGATTAGTATTAGTAACAGACAATGGGAAGTAAGACATAAAAATCTGACTGCAAAAGGATCAAGAATGTCCTTAAAAACGTCTGAAAACTGTTTAGCGTTGCTTTGTAGCGTGTAATCTCTTATACGACTGAGAATACTGGAAAATTTCGTCAGAGATGTAAAAGAGACTTGATGTGGTTTCTTTGTTTTTTTTTACCCAATTTCACCCAATATAAAACCCAAGAATCACTCAACGAAGACACCATTGACATAAATATCTTTTCATTATGTGGGAGGTATTTTCGCCGCACTCTATACTATTCTTCACCCAATACAAAACCCAAGAGCCACTCAAGGTAGAGGGTGATTGAATAAGTTTTATAATATGAACATTGGAGGAAGAAATAAGAAGTGAATTTTACGAATATATAACTGATTGATAAAGACTGACTCTAAACTTAAAGAAGTTAAGATTGTAATGTTCTAGGGAGCATCCACGCAGGAGTCTGTTTCACAAAATAGCTGTTCTTGAGAAGAAGCGTTCGGATTGGAACGCCCTTCTTACCAAAGCAATGTGTAGGAAATGGAGGTGATTCAACCCTGTGGGTGTAGCAAGGTGGATCTTAGCTCTAAAGGTCTGCGCTGGTGGAACTAAAGAATAGAGCTTGTCGGAACATTTTGTAGCGATAGGCTTCGTACGTTTCGTCTGTCGAGAAAGGGGCTGTAGGGTGGAAAATAAATCACCACCCACAAGGCCGCGTAAAGGTTTTTGAGGTCTATGAAGTTTGGAAGGTGAGAATTGGGCATCTCCAGCCCAGATATGACAGCAATCTGCTATACCGAATGCTGAGAATACCATGGACAGATCATAGAAGCAACAGGGAAGTTTTCAGAAGAAAAGACGGGAAAAAAATTATTGCAAGCGTTCAGAAAGAAGCAACTAAATACAAATTAGGAAAGAAGGCTCGGAGAATTTAATACACACAGGCCTACATTCCTTAGTTCCGCCTGTTCAGACCTTCACAGATAGGAACCAGTATGTCGCGTCCACAGCGTCAACTCGTCCTTATTCGCTTCATATTCCATTGGTAAAGAGGAAGTTCCATTCAGACAGTTTCTTCCCTAGAACTGTTAATTAGGGAAACAGTCTACTGACAGGATGTTTTTCTAGTCATTCCAATCTTAATCTCTTCATATATAGGGTCAACTGTTATATATCCTACAAATCCTCCTAATATGCATTTCGTATTTCGTCTACGCTATTACAACAATCACATTCAGTATCCCTCTACCTTAAGTGGCTCTTTCGACTTATATTAGGTGAATAATATTACTGGGTGAAATTCCTCCCACATGAGGGTAATACATTAGTGGCAATGATGTTTTCATCCAGCTAATGTCTTAGTATTATGTGGGGGGGGGGTATTTCGAGGAGGTAATGTAGGAGTTATTTCTGTCGAACTCTCTATATAAAAAAGAAAAGCAAAGGAAAATGGTGGGAAACATTCTTTTTTTAATCGGTATCATCCCATACAAGGCACTAAAGCCACTAAGACACACTGGGTTACAGGGTGTGGAAGAATTAGGAACAAAAACATTAATAATGAGCTGGAAACGGAAAGAGTACAGTAGATAGCGATTGATATTGCATTTACATTTTCGCAGATTAAAGTAGGCTGGGAGACATAGAGCCGGAAGGGAGTTCCACAAACGAGAAGTGCGAGAAAAGTAACTGTCAGCATAGAATTTACGGTTACATCTATCCAGCTAAATTGTAAATTGATGAGATATTGATGCCAATCTAGTACTAGGCTTAAATTCATAAACTAGAACCGATATTTAATTGTATAAAATACAAAATGTGGCACAAGGCCAAAATGGGGAAAATGGTTGGTCTTCTTCCTTCTGCCTTATAATTGAACTTAGCTAGCCACAATCATTGACCCGAACATACTACAATATTCCTTAACAACAACAATGCATTCTTACTTACCATTCTAACTACATTCACCATAATACCTCATTGTCTCTATAAAAATCCTAACTAGTCCCTATATATACAATTCTTGTCTGTGGAGAAGGGGAATATAACAACATAGCGAAGAGCGATATTTATTTCCGCTTCAATGCAGAAAATGTGGCACAAGGCCAAAATGGGAAATGGGGAAACTTTAAACTTAACTATCCACAAACACTGACCCAAACATATTATTCCTAACACCAAAACAAGACATTCTTACTTACCTTTCTTACTACACCCACCATAATACCTCATTGTCTCTATGAAAATCTTAAGTAGTCCCCATATGTACAATTCATTGTCTGTTGGGAGGGAGGAATAAAACAATTTAAAAACTAGCCCCAGTGAGTATTTACAACATAGCAAAGAGCTCACCCAAACAATTGCCATGATAGTATTTATGGAAATGACACAGAGACAACCTTACGACGATGGGAAGTGAGTTAAGATGAGCTGCCAGATCAGAATCGATAATATTGCTGATTATTCTTTAGATTTTATCAAGGAGTTCAAGGTAAATAGCAGGGGCACCGGACCAAATGTGGCAACAATATTTTGGCGAGAGACAAGAACGATAACTCCTTTTTTTAAAAATTGTAACGCAACCTTTGTACGGCAAAAGAAGGAAGCTGTTCTGAAACAAGGCAGAGAAAGTGGGAGAGAGGGCAGTATCTGTTCACTTGAAATTGTTGGCTTATTTAAAAGTGTATTTATACTTGCTTAACGTTAGCTTATCACAGAGTTTGCCTTTATTTATTAGCTTTTTCTTCCTTGCTTCTTGTAAGTTTTTTTTCCATCCCTTCTCTTATCTCCCCCTTTTTATTGTTCCCCATTACTTCTTATCCCGATTTAATCTTTTCATTTGTCTTTCCATAGTCCATCCTCTCATTGTGTTATTTACTGTTATTCTCATCATCTTGTTCCCTACCTTTGTGTCAGTCATTCGCGAACAGTTACTCGCCGTGAATCGGTCCCTCTATTTGTCTGTGGGTCTCTGCGCCGGCCCAGCTTACCGGTCTTTGACGGATTCTTCCAGGATCTGGCTAACGTCCTCGCTTCCAGAACGTCAATCTAGATTTTCCAAACCTTTCCCTAAAACGAATTTGACGATCTCTTCCTCAACCATGTCCCGAGAGATTTCACTTTGTCTGTCGTCGGATTCGAAACCAATGTCAGAAGGCGACAGAAGCGGCGGCGCTGGGCGTGACGGACGGGCGTGATTAGCAGGACGAGGAAGATAAAGATAAAAAAAAAAGGCCCATGTATGACATGAATACACGATCGTCATTTATGAGCGACGAGGAATTGTATTCTCAAATGGTGCAGTGAATAAGCCGTCAGTGGTCACCGACGGGTGTGGGGGTATACACCGTGGCCGAGGGGCTTGGGTCGGTTATAAACGAAGAGATTAAAATCATTTGTTGTTTTTCTCGTTCTACTCCCTTAACAGTTACACACTGACACATCTTTACTTCCACTTCCTTTCAACGTAATTAGTAACATCTCGCCAACACCCAATTAAGCCATTGGACATTGACTATTATTATTATTATTATTATTATTATTATTATTATTATTATTATTTCAACTTCACTCATTCTTACATATATTTTTCTTTACTTCAATATTTTCTTCTTCTTATCTTGTCTAGGGTATTGCTTTTTTCTTTCTTATTTTATTGTTTTCTTTCTTCCTTACTTTTTTGATTTCTTTTTTTTTTTTACCACCATCATCATCATAATCTTACTAATATTACTTCAAACACCACCACCATGATGAGGATCATCATGATCATTTCTTTTTCTCATCATTTTCTTCTTCTTCTTCTTCTTCTTCTTCTTCTTCTTATTATTATTATTATTATTATTATTACTTTTATCCCCATCAAAACAATCATCACTGTCATCATCTTCCTGCCATCTTCTTCTTTTTTTTCTTCTTCTTCTTCTTCTTCTTCTTATTATTATTATTTTCATCCCCATCAAAACAATCATCACTATTATCATCTTCCCATCATCATCATCATCATCGTCATCATCTTCTTCTTTTTCTTCTTCTTCTTCTTCTTATTATTATTATTTTCATCACCATCAAAACAATCATCACTATCATCATCTTCACGTCATCATCATTATAATCTTATTCTTTTCTTCTTCTTCTGCTCATTATTATTATTACTATTACTATTATTATTATTATTATTTTCATCCCCATCAAAACAATCATCACTATCATGATCTTCCCCTCATCATCATCATCATCATCATCTTCTTCTTCTTCTTCTTCTTCTTCTTCTTCTTATTATTATTATTATTTTCATCACCATCAAAACAATCATCACTATTATCATCTTCCCGTCATTTTCTTCTTCTTTTTCTTCTTCTTCTTCTTCTCCTTCTTCTTCTTCTTCTTCTTCTTCTTCTTATTATTATTATTATTATTTCCACCCATCACCACCATCAAAACCACCTTCGCTACCATCCTCTTCCACCTATCTTCTTCTTCTAAATATTATTATTATTATTTTCGCCACTATCAAAACTACCATCACTATGATCATCTTCCTGCCAACGTCTTTCGACATTTTCCTTTCCTTTATTTTTACCATGTCCTTTTTCTCCACTTTTATTTTTTTATTCTTGTACCTTGTTTTTCCTCCATCTTTTTTCCGTCTCCATTCCTTCACATTCTTTTCTCTTTTGTTTTGTTTTTTTTTCTCATTCCTCGTCCTCCATTTCTATTCTCCATATTCTTTCTAAATCTGTCATTTTCTCTGTATTATTCCCATTCCTTCAATCTACTTTTTATTTACTACTTCCTCATGGCTTTTATGATTTCCCATCTTCTTATTGCTCTATGTCATCGTTCGTATTTCTCTCAACAATTTCCTTTGTTGTTTGTCATGTTCTGTTGTTGTTCTAATTCGCTCATTGCGTGTTACTTTCGACAGTGCTGCGGGTCTGGATAGTCCCGGCTTTATTTCTAGTTTTCAACTTATTCTATTTTTTCTACTTGATTTCTCGAGACCGATCGCAGTACTCCGATAGCGATTGGTAAGACTGTAACGTTAATGTTATATAACTTGCCCAGCTTGATTTAGATGCTTATTTATCTGTTCAGTTTCTTACTAAGATCCACTGTGATCTGCCGAAACAGTGATATTCATGAATTTGGCAGGTTTTCATCTTGTTCGCGAATACTCATTCCGATCGTATAGCCTAGGTTGGGAGATACGTTTGAATCTCAGGGATAAATATAGGCTTATGAACATACCGTTGCTGTTTTTGATCAAAATTTAGTAACTTGCGTAGTTTCCAGTTGATCACCCTTCCTACCCAGTCATGCCTGTTTCTCTACTCTTTCTCCGGCAATTTATTTCGTTTGCTGATTATGTGCTTCAATCTGCTTGTTTTTTTTTTTTTTAATTTTAGCAGAAGCTGTTTCATTGATAATTTTTGTCATCAGCAAAAATACCATTAGATTTTGCTGAGATCTGGTTTTTTAATTTTAGTAGAAGCTGTTTCATTGATAATTTTTGTCATCAGCAAAAATACCGTTAGATTTTGCTGAGATCTGTTTTTTTTAATTTTAGCAGAAACTGTTTCATTGATAATTTTTGTCATCAGCAAAAATACCATTAGATTTTACAGCGATCTGTTTTTTTAAATTTTAGCAGAAGCTGTTTCATTGATAATTTTTGCCATCAGCAAAAATACCATTAGATTTTGCTGAGACCTGTTTTTTTTATTTTAGCAGAAGCTGTTTCATTGATAATTTTTGTCATCAGCAAAAATACCATTAGATTTTGCTGAGATCTGTTTTTTTTTCTTATTTTTTAGCGTTTTAGGCAAATATTACCCTTTTGAAAACTAATTGTAGCAGAAAATTATTTCCATATGTCTTTTCACTTTAGTAAAGTACACAAGCTTAGGTATCCACGACGTCTTATCCTTTGTAGCTTTAAGCAAAATTTGTCTTTTCACCATCCCCTCCCACTCCCTGTTGTACTATCCATTTACAAAAGCTCGGTAGGTAGGTTACTCACTGCTTTACTCTGTCTTTCTTGCGCCAAATATATCCTGAGAGTGTCATATTCTCCAAGTCCTCCTTCCTACGTGTTTTAGAAATTTCAACTGTAGCTTTCTTCTAATTCTAATTCTAATTACTATTTTTATTTCCATTTTCTTTAAAACTTCCTCGTTACTTACCTGATCAGTCCATTGCATTATCAACATTCTTCTGTAGGTTCCCATTTTGGCTAATTCATGTCTTTCTCGATCTGTGAGAATATCAAATAATAACCGGCCGCGATTGAGAAGTCCTCTAAAGAAAAGGTTATTAATTTCACTTTTTACGAAAATGAAAAAGTAAAAACAGAGATAGAAATTCAAACACATACACCCACTAAAATTTAACGCTTATAGTAATAAGAAGCAATGTCGGATAAAAAAAAAATGTTATTTAGATTTCGGATACGAAACTAAATCTAGGAGATATAGATTCGTAGAAGTCCCAACGTGAGATGTACTTTCCTTAAATAGATAATTCAAACCTTGTTCTGTCAGGTTGCTTTCTTTGACCAAAATGGTAACGACATGCTTTGGTTAAAATGGGAAAAACGGTTACAGGTTTAATGTCGGGGACACAATCTTTCTTTAATATTTTTTTTTATCAAGTTCACCCCAAACATGGCAGTAAAGCCATTAAAACACAAAGGGGTTACTGGGTGTGGAAGAATTAGAAAACAGAAACATTACTAAAGAGCAAGAAAAAACAAGAGTAATCAGGAAGACAGTAGATAGCGATTGACATTATATAAACAGTGAGTTCCACAAGCGAGAAGTGCAAGAAAAGAAACTGTCAGCATAGAACTTACGGCTATATCTAGCCAATTCAACTGTAAACTGATGAGATCTTGCTGCCAGTCTAGTACTGCGCTTAAATTCAGTCTAAGTCCGATAGCGAAGAGCTCATCCGAACAATTACAATGAAAATATTTATAGAAAAGGCACAGAAAGGCAAATTTACGGTGGCAGGAAAATGACTTGTCGTATAAATGAAAATAACACTAAAAATATCTTGAAATACTAAAGAGAAAATTTATTCAATAAAATCACCATCGGCTTCAACCACGGCCTCTAGTCGACTTTAGAATATCCTGTATTTTTTCTGGACGGTCTCCTTGTTTAAGTTGGTGAATGCTGCCATAATTCTTGCCTCCAGTTCATCTTTGATGTTACAAGGAGTTTTGTTGGATTCTTGCTCAACTGCGTCACACATAAAAATCAAGGCATTTGTAGTTAGGTGGGTACATATAAGGGATGATGTGGTCACAGAAATTATCTGACAGCCATGACTAGGTTCTTCTGCTTGTGTGGCATGGTGCAGAGTCCTGTTGCCAGACATAGGCTCTTCCAGCAGCCAATCTCTTAACCCAGGCAAGCACTACCTCCTCAAAGCACTATGCACGCCTCCGTGATGAGTCTGAGACTTTTGTAGGAAGACGAATGGAGGTATAACGTTGCCATCACTAATGATCACTCCAAACACATTCGTAATCACCATTAGACTCATCCAACTCGTTCCGAATCTTCTGCAAATGTCCTTAGATTGTAAAAAAAAAAACACTGAAATGTTCGTGTTGGCGCTTCCGGCACGAATGTCAAGCAGTGCAGCATACCGTTTCCGTTTACCGTTTCCAAATTTCTGGCAGAGTGAATTGCATCATGGTGGTCTTTTTCTAGCAGATGGTTCCCAGCTGACCCTACTATATTGTGTAGTTGACAAAATCAAAAACAAACAAAGCGCATGCGCGAAATTAAAAATTTAAAATGGTGACAATTTAACCACCACACCCTGTATAGTTAGAGCACCGGACCATATATGGCAGCACTATTCTAAACATGGTAGACTTACAGATATGTAAGATATGACTTCTCAATCTAAGCCGGTTGTTATTAATTTCAATATTTAAGAAAATTAAAAAAAATACAAGGATAGCAACTCAAACACGTGTACTAAAAACAATGATAATTGTGATAATATATAATGTCAGATAAAAAAATCCTTTTATGGATACTTGTATATTTTAACTATATGAGAGATACAACGACGGCTGAAAGTAAGTAGAACTCAATACAATAACATGTCTGTCCGTTTTATATCTATTATAATCACGTCTCATTTTAACAGTAACCCTCTACCTTGGGTAGCTCTCGTTCATTGTATTACGTGGGTTGTAATATCAAGAAAATCTAGATCCCTTTCTCTATAAGGTGGGTTTCACGTTCAAAACGAAAAAAATAATGCTTCTCTCACTTTAAAAGATCAAGGGAGTAAAGGAGTTATAGAAATCAATACAATAACATGTCTGTCCGTTTTATATCTATTATCATCATGTCGAGAGGGTTCACTCGCATATAAATATCTATGTGCTTTTGTGTTGCGTATTTATCCTGTATTACTATGTATTAAAAAAAAAGATTAATACACAATTTAGTGGATAAGTATTCGAGTAAGTGTGTTAATGTCTGCACCTCTCAATCAAAAATAAATAAATACATGAAAAAAAAAAAAAGCCTACAAAGACGAGTTTCATCTCTATTGTCATTTCTTTTAAAAAAAATGACGAAAACTAGAAAATGGAGTCCAGAATCGGCAGCAGGAAACGAAAGCGGACATAAAAAAAGCGGGAACTTTTCGCATCGACGTCCGACAATTGAATTACAGAGATTCAATTATGTGAGTTATTTGGTTACGTGAAAACTGTACAGCGAGCCCGCCTACTTCGGAAGGGTGGAATAGAAAGAAGACAAGGAATATGTAAGTTGTTTTAAAGAGAATGCGGGAGAGGCAGAAAAATTAAATAACATAAAAATGGAGAAAGTGATCGCAGAGTATATTTGATTGGGGACTGGAATAGGGAAGAGATAAGTCGTTAAAATATGGGGGACAAAAGAGAGAAAGAAAGAAAAGTAAGAAAAAAGAAATAAAGAAAATGAAGAAAAAGAAAGAAGGAAAAAGAAAAGAAAGAACAAGAAAAGAAAGAAAAAAGGAAATAATGAAGAATGAAAAAGAAAAGTAACAAAAAGAAAACAAAGAAAGAAAGGAAAGAACGAAAGAACGAAATTGGAAAAGAAAGAAAGAAAGAAAGAAAGAAAAGTAAGAAAAAAGAAATAAAGAAAATGAAGAAAAAGAAGGAAAAAGAAAAGAAAGGACAAGAAAAGAAAGAAAAAAAGGAAATAATGAAGAATGAAAAAGAAAAGTAACAAAAAGAAAACAAAGAAA